GAAAACCCTGCTGCATTTCCTTTCTTATCAACTGAACATGTTTCTACTTTCATAAATTGGGAAGTGTAAAAGATGAGTGGACTCGCCACCTGGATTTCAAACCCCCCTGTCACAGAGGGCCAGGCGCAGAAGGAAAGCTGACCCTCCCTCTGCACCTGTAACTAGTCAAAGGGAACCCATCCCAGGAGACACAGCTGGACTCCTAAACAACCAGACCTGTCCACAAGGCAGATCAAACTCTAAAGGTTCCCCAGAAATGACTGACAAAAGCCACTTTACAATTTCCAAAGTCCTAAGCTTCCCTACTCACCAAACCTGGTTTCCCCCAATTTTACACTGAGACATCTATCAAGCTAAGCATCATTTCTACTTTAGTAAGAAAGTTCCAAGGCCAGCTAACGTTTGTGCTCTATGCAGAACTGCTTGCTGGTGCTAAGGATCTGATTTTGAAGGTAAGGGCAGTTGGAACTGGTTTGTATTGAGCACTGCCTTCCCTACGGCCTGTGTAAGTCCTTGCACCGTGACCACAAATTCCACGAGCACATCCGTTTGTGAAAGCTGGTGTGTGGAGTAGGAGTTTCCAATGTCTGAAGGTATTTACAGATTCAAGGAGGACCTAATTGGTCTCCCATTAAGTTCATTACATAATTTCAATCAGCTGGTAAAGATTAGGATTGTTTGGGAGCATCCTTGTCAGTCAGACAAAACATCTACCAATCTTGATGAGTAGATGGCTATTCCAACCAAGGGAAAGTGGTGCTGGACCCTAACTTTTAAAAACTCCACTCATTTCTTGGTTCCCTAAGAACGGTGTCCGCTCCTGTCTTCGGCACAGTGGCCCTAAAAGGCTTTGCTGAGCTGCAGGGCACCAAACTCTTCTGCCACGCTCGGGGAGTAACCTGAGTTACACTGGGGCTACAGTAACCGAGTCTTAGTAGGAAACAGGGCCAGAAATGACCATGTTCAGACAAGATTCCAGGCAACACAAACTGTAATCATGCAAGACTCAGGTTTTAGTCACCATCTCAGGAACCAACAAATTTTAGCCAGGAACTGTGCAAAACCCACGAAGTTCCAAAGACAATCTAAACTACAGCAATGATAAAAGTAGAGCCCCTAGAGACACCCTATCGGCTTTTCAGTTTCACAACAAAAAAGTCAGTATCCTGAGTTTCATCAGCATTTTCTCTCTAAAATAATTTATACAAAACATAAAAGCATACTAATGGATACACGGAGACAATGAAACATTAAGTCTGGAAGAACAAACACCCCATTAAACTAGAAAAGAAATGCCTCAAAAAAAGAAAAATACAGATTTAGGAAATAAATTAAAGATTGAAACCTTATACTTTCAAGTTTTCTTTGACTATTCTTTTGAGAGACGGCATGAAGTTGATACATTTTTCTAGTAATCATTTAGTAGGGATCAAAGGCCCAAGCGTGCCTCTTCACACTTGCACACACACAAACCCTGCCTTTAAAAATCATGGCCCCCTTGGCAGTTATTCTCAACACAGGAAAAACCAAAAGAATTAGTATTCATTTTGTTTGTTTGTTTTTGAGACAGGATTTCTCTGTGTAGCACTGCCTGTCCTGGAACTCACTTTGTAGACCAGGCTGGCCTTGAACTCACAGAGATCCACCTCCCTCTGCCTCCAGAGGGCTGGGACTAAAGGTATGTGACATCTTTGTCAGCATAAACTAGTTTTCTAAAGCATGGTCTGTATCATCAAGCCAAGGCATTTTATTTACTAAGTTGGCTGTCCAAAAAAAAAAAATTTTAAAGGTGCTCCCCCCGCCCAACAAATGTTACTTTTACTAGCATTCACAGAAACTAAAATGTCAGTACAGGTAGACACTTTTTTAGGACTCAAGATAATGCTAATCCAATAAAGCAAAGGACCCCAAAGTCCAATCCTTCTCTCTCTATGCCCTTTAAAACAAACATGGGGGGAAAACAAAACCACTTCTTTCCTTCCAATAAAGCAAAGGACCCCAAAGTCCAATCCTCCTCTCTCTATGCCCTTTAAAACAAACACGGGGGGAAAACAAAACCACTTCTTTCCTTCCTAAATGCAATTTGTATTTTTAAACACCTCTCTGATGTGACCTGAATGGGGTTTCTTTACTTTGCCTGAAGTCGTTTTAAAAAATATAGACGTACTCGTTGGGAAAACCAATGCCAATTATGCAAACACAGGTTTATACTAGCTATAAAATGGGGCCAAATTATTATGACTGGTTTCTGAAGCCCTAGAATTTACAATACACAATTTAAACTAAAATCACGAATCCAGGAACAGAGATGGAATCCAGCGTTTCTTAATCCAAGGTACTGTCTCATTAAAACCCTAACCCTTCTACATGGCCTTCCATTTTCCCGTTCCTAGAAAAAGAAACATTTCTGGGGAAGTCAGGATTTATTAAGAATAGTAAGGTCCAGGAATTTTATTTTAACCATAAACCCTAAGTTTTCTTTTAGTGCTTCAAAGACCCATTATCATTAAGACCAGATAAATTACATGGCTAATCCACTGTTCAGTACTGAGCCTAGAAAATAACCTCAGATGGAACAAGACCAAGCTCAGCCACTGAACTGGGGGTGCAGGTGTTCACACCTCTCGAGTTCAGGTCCATGGCGCCTGGAAGGAGAACTACTGCCCTGTGTTGTCAGAATGTGTCGTGGTAGCTTCAGTGCTGACAGGCTGCACTTTGTCTGCAAGTGTGTGTGCGTGCTCGAGAAACAAGTCTTTCAGTACACTCAATTCCTTTGTCAGCAACTTAATTTTGGCTTCCAACCGTTCATTCTCTTCTTTGAGCTGGTTCACTCTTTGAAGTGTATCTTGAGCTTTCTGCTTGCTTTTTAATCGACTCTTTTTCACGGCCATATTGTTCCGCTCTCTGCGCTGGCGATACTCGTCACTATTTCGATCCATGGGCGAACTCTTTTTGCTTTGCTTGCTTGGAGGCGCAGCTTTGCCTCCTCCCCCGGGCCCGGCAGGCACCAGCTGAGGGACCTGCTGTAAGCCACTGGCATGTGCCTGAGTGTGAATGACACTTATTCCGTTCACTCCTGGAGCAGTGGCTG